TAGAAAACAACTGAACACAAATAGCTTGTTTGGAAGGGTTGCATGATGATATCCAGAAACTGTGGTGTGTGATTTTGTAAACTTAAAGTTTAAATAGTTTTATTTATAATTTGGGATTAACTTGATTATTTTTATAGCAGGATATCCATGTACATGAAACACTGGAGTTCATATAAAGTGGTTTCTTTGTCTTGACTGGTTTTGAGAAACAAAGATATTTTTTTTTATGTATTTGTGAATCTATGAAGGGCAAATGTGTATTTGTAGTGTCTATCATTTTTTTTGTGTAGCAGGACTCAGGAATGCAGATCCACAATGTGACCTAAATAAAAGAACAAGATTCAATGACAAAAAAGGAAAAGAACAGAAGGTTGGCATAGCAGCAACAAGAAAATGATACTTAAAGAAACACTGAACATGGTATAAAGAACATGATACCAGACTGCAGGTGATGAGGACTGGGATATTGAGCTGATAAGGAGATAGAAGACATCTGGTTTAATGACAACAGGAAACAGGTGTAAGTGGATTGGTTCTGAGAGTGGCTGAAAACATAGAGGTACTCAAGAACGAGAACACAAAAAAAATAGAAACTAAACATCATAGGAAATGAAAAATAAACCTCAAAACAGAAAACTAAACACTGAAAAAATGAAATGTTCTAGTATTACTATGTCAAAATTTTTCATGGTATCATATCCGAATCATCTGTTTCGTTAATAAATATTAGTAGTTTCATATGTTAATTGATTGATTGCGTTTTGCCATGTCCCGTTTTCCTTTTAGTATCATTTTGTAGTTGTTGCTGCCATGCCAAACTTCTGTTTCTGGTTTTTTTCCTTTTATTTTCATTGAATCTTTGTTCAGATATAGATTTCATATATATCCAGTTGATTAAACTCAAAAATATTGTTTATTGTTCTTTCATGGATGTTGAGTTTTAATCCCATACAGATAACAATTAAGAATGTAACTACTAATGATTTGCAAAAAATATTAAAAAAAAAAAAGATTGATCCAAACACGTTTCCATCTCCATCTACTGTAAATTCACCTGAATATACTTTGTGCCCAAATAAGGAGAACAAATGTATTCACTTACAAGTATTTTTAGATATTTTTCTAGAGTTTTTTTTTTAAACTTTGTCTAATTTTATGTCTTGAATATTGAGACTTTGAATATCCAAAACAGTAGTAAAGATTGGTGACCTTATCCTACCATCACAGACCTGTTTGGTTTACATGAATATTTAAATACTATGGCCATAAATAAAATCATCATCTTACATTGTGAAATAATTACATAACTAAAAGAGATTAAGCTGCGCTGTGAATCTGATCCATGCACCCGACCTGCTTCCATTCAACCTGAGCAGATAAATCGTATCTGTCCTTGCACAATACATGAACAATAACGTGAGAAAAGGGAGGCTGACAAATGTTGTGAAGCCAAAGACTTCATCATATCAATATATAAAGGTGACAGCAGCTGACATCAAACACATTAGTGGTACTGGTGTAACAAGTCAACCATAAACTTCTATAAAAAGCTCAAAGAGGTGCTGCCTGAGGCTTATCTTTCATCCACAGCCGCTGCACTAATGACCACAGTAAATGATATGATATTCCATATATAGAGTGACCCTACTGAGAGATGACCTGTTGCCATGCCCGTTTTTTTAATTTCTTAATTTCTGTCTCTCTTTTTTTGTTTAAAACACCAATATTTTCTTATATTTCTGTAAGAGTGAGATTAGTGGAAGTACTGAAAGCACGTAGAAAAATAATATAGGCTAGTTGAATACAATAAAAGTGTAGCAAATAATATAATGTGAGTGTGTGCGTGGGCGTGCATGTGTGTGTGTGTTTGTGTATTGATTGAACTTTACTACCCAATAACCAAATCAATAAAAGCAGTTAACAATAACAGAGACTCTTATTGCACTGGATTAACCTGTTCGGGCTTTTATTTATTTATTATATTTTTTTGTATGATGCTGTGATAAATAATGTCGACCTGGCTTTTCCTGCTGGAAATTGTTTCAGAGCTGCGAGACCTTGAAGTTTAGACCTTGGTCTCTTATTCCAGTGTAAGACTCGCCTCATCGCTCACTGTTCCTGTGGTAATTATATGTATTTAATGGCAATACAGCACACAGAGAACATCCAACATCTGTAGCAGGAATAAAATATAACTGAATCATTAACAAAGAAGAAGGAAGTTATGTATTAATCAGCATGTTTATTGTATTTAAAAATCTAATTAAAGTTAATCTAAACATCAGAGGTCATAAACAAAATTTGCTCAAGGTCCAGTTTCTTTCAAAAAACAGTTTGATTAGCAGTGGTGGGATGTAATTAAGTACAAATACTTTGTTACTGTACTTAAGTACATTTTTCGTGTATCTGTACTTTACTTAAGTAGAGTTAAATGTGGGTACTTTATACTTTTACTTCACTACATTTTACATTAAGCATCTGTACTTTCTACTACACTACATTTCTATAATGTGTTGCATTACAAGTTACATTCATTTTTGCAGCGGTTTGATTTGTTCATTACTTTGAAAGTAACCAGTGATGAGAGGGGAGCTGGTCCATTGAATCACTGCAAAGTGAGCAGGTAACGTTAGGCCCGCCTTCAAGAAGAGCTGGACCACTGACATATATTCTAGTATTTATATCATTGAACTGGGTGCACCAGCAGCACCACTAACACACCCAAAATGTATTTCACTGCAAGAGTCAGCCAGAAGATATTCTCCACCCATGGCCTTATTGAACGACTGTTCAGTACAACAGGACAGATTCTGTCTCCCTAAAGAGCCAGATTGGACTCAAAAATCTTTGAAAACCAACTTCTTCTGAACTTGAACAAGAAATTCTTGCTGCGATATTAAAATGTGGCAGTTCATGGGATGTTAGGAGACAAGAGATATCTCCAAATGGCTCGACACTCAGGTCCAAGTTTTAAAAATGGTGTCAGGAAGTTAAAATATTGTTCAATATTGACCCATTACAAGGTTGAATAGACAGTATTTTAACTAGAGTTGATGACAAACTGGAGTTGAAATATCAGTGGAAATGATCAGAGCCTGTTCTTTTGTTAGTTGTGTCTAATGCTCCTTTTTTCAGGCAGACAACTTTTACTTAAATGTGTTTACTGCAGTTAAAATGACACATTGGTTTTGCTATGTGTCAGCAGCATAGTTCATTAAAATGACTCAACACTATTAATGCATTACAGAAAATATACATATGGTAGGCAGACTTAATGATATGTAGACCATTACATTAGGTAATACATTGAGAAAGTACTTTTACTTTTAATACTTTAAGTATTTTAAAAGCAAACACTTATTTACTTTTACTTAAGTAAAAAATGTTAATGTGGTACTTCTACTTTTACTAGAGTACATTTTTGTCTGTTTATTTGTACTTTTACTTAAGTACAGTGTTTGACTACTTTCTCCACCACTGTTGATTAGTCATCTTATTGGTAATCATGACCTCTCACTTTTATTTTATTTCAGGTCCTGCTGTCATAAATTAGTGGCATTTACCATGCTATTTAATCATTTTACAGTTATATAGTTAAAATAAATGTTGGCAAAGACAACAAATAATCACAATAATCACTTTTTTTTTTCAAAAAGTAATCCAACAAACATTAACATCTAAAGGAGTGCACTAAATTAAGTGATGGAATGCACATTTATTTTTACATTTATTTGTGGGGCACCAACAAATCATAAATATTTCTTCCTTGTTTCCAACTACAAAACAAGCCCACATAAAACAACAATCAACAGAGAACAGAAAAAGAAGTGCTCGTATAAACGTGAACCCAGATTTCCAGCATTTCAGTATTTCTTGTACCACACTGAGTTAAACAGCCGCAGAGAAATGAAGCCAAAACTATTTAATGTGTTATGGCCAAAACGCAAAAAGCCAACAGGCCAGTTTTGGCCCGTGGGCCATCAGTTTATAATCACTGTTTTAACAGACACATCAAGTGTTTACAGTCACCTTTAGATATTTTACCAAGATGTTCTTAATAATAATGTAACATGAATAGTTCACATAAAACATTAGGTAGCCTCGTTCTTTTCTTATCATCATCATATATTTATTGGCATTTACTGTATTTCATATTATTTCTAATATGGCGTCAAATACTGTCAGACTTGATTTGAAATAAATCATAAAAAATTGGCAATATGCAAACTTTTTTTTTTTCCAGTAAGAACGAGAGCTGAGTCAGTGTTTGAAAAGCAAGAAAACACATACTTGGCTTATTGTTCCAAGACGGATGTAGTAACAAAACATTATGATGTAAATGTAAAAGGCGGCTGTGGCTGAGTGTGTAGAGCAGTTGTCCTCTAATGCAAGAGTTGGGGGTTTGAATCCACCAGCAGTCACATGCTGAAGTGTCCCAGGGCAAGACACGGATCCCCTCATTGCCTCCGATGTGTCCCATCGGTGTATGAATATGATAAAGCACTGATTATTCTTTGTATAGATATAGTAGAGTGCTGTATGAGTGTGATCAAGCTAATGTGATTAGTCTGTTTAGAATGATTTGCTCAATTAGTTTTGTACAGATCTAGTATAGTGCTGTATGTACCTGTATGTGTAAATGAGGGCATGGACTGTAGTGTGAAGTGCTTTGAGTGTCTTGATAAGATATAAAATCGCTATATGCTGTAAGTACAGTCCATTTACAATTTAAATAGAGTTGATTCTATCTAAAGGCTTGTTATGAATAAGAGCAAGCAACACATATTTACGTCAAAAAGGAGCCACATAGGAAACAATTATGTAAGAAGGGTTAATAGTCAGTTTTTGAGGAAACAAATAATAACAAAAGAGGAAAACTCACAATTCCACAGTGCAGTGGGCACATTTTAGGGTGAATTTGAGTTTAGAAATGTAAATATAAAACCTTTTTTTTTCCTCTCTTTCACACACACAACAAATGTAGAAAACTTCTTACATACCCGATATTTGGAAAGGTCGATCCTCAATGAGTTGTGAAGCTGGTCCAGTAATTTGACAAATTTCTCCCTCTGTTAGGATCAGAATTTAATAATTTAGTTTCTACTCAAAGCATAAGACTTAAAAATTTATAACACTGCCTGGTCTGTGGCATTGCTTGTCTGCAGTGATTCATTTTTACTTCTCGGAAAAAGAAAAAAAAAAATAGCTGTTTTGCTACATTGCCAAACTTGGCTTGCTGCCTCAGAAATATTATATGAGGTCTTGCAACATTAGCTTATTAAAAGTTTAAATGGAAAGCACGGGCAAACTTGTGAGGTGACTGCTAATGCATAAGCATAAAGTAAAACTAACACAGGCTGAGTGACTGACGTTGTTTAAATTTGTGAAAAAGACAAAAAGAAAAGTTAGTAAAGTTGAGCAGCTGTGGCAGCTGACAGTAACGGGTATACTCACCCCAAAGTTAGAGGCGGCAAATCTGTCGGAAGCAGAGGCGGTGGTTGTGGTGGTGGTAGTAGTGTGGGCAAAGTAAGCATTGATATTGGCGAGCAGGCTGCTCATCACTGCCGGCACACCAGGACACATGTATTTGGCAGAAAGGCAAGAAAAATGCCTGCAGAGAAGAATGAAACAAGGTATTAACCTGTAAATACACCTATAGAGTATAAGGCATCATATTCCTAACAAAAAACTCTACCTTAGTTTTGGTCAATTAGATAAATGCTGTTAAAAAAAAAGCTGTATTTCTGTCACTTTTACTTTCAAACTGTTGCCTTTGAGCACATTTATTTTAATGTTCTGAACAATTACCTCTATTGAAAGAATTATGACTTCCATACTCCTAACTGCCCCGTTAACGTAGCAAAAAAATGTCTTCAATGGCCATAACAAATAACGTCATAAATCAAAGCCGTGTAACCAGTGCTACTAATGACATGAGACTGCTGCGCAGTAGATGGAATAATCAGTGTAACAGTAAATCAAGGATTCTTGAGGTTGAAGGCGGGTGCATGCACTGCTGAATATATTGTGTTCAGTTTCCTTTTCATCTAATCTTTGCTGCTTTTTTCTTCTGTAACTTTTAGACCTCACTTTGTAAGAAACGGTTCAATTGTCTGCAAAGATTATCTGTGACGTGAGAAATGACAAATCTGAACACTAATCAAAGGAACTGAACATGCTTGAACTCCATGAGGACAGTTTTTGTTTTTTATTTGAAAAGCTTTTTCAGTTGCATTTGTCTGTAAGGAGAGTCCTGTGTGTTCAGTGGTTAATGTGTGTTTAACTTGCTGCCAGAGTCTTAACTGGAGTTAATAGGAGAGATCAGACCTCTCTAGTTTTAGCTTCTCTCCACCGGCTCCCTGTCAAGTCCAGAATTGAATTCAAAATCTTACTTCTGACCTACAAATCTCTCAACAACCTAGCTCCATCTTATATTCAAGATCTTATTGTTCCATATTTTCCTAACAGAGCACTTCGCTCTCAGACTGCAGGCTTACTCACTGTCCCTTGAGTTTCCAAAAGCAGAATGGGAGGAAGATCTTTCAGTTATCAGGCTCCTCTCTTGTGGAACCAACTTCCAGTTTCAGTCCGTGAGGCTGACACATTGTCCAGTTTTAAGACTTGGCTTAAGACTTTCCTTTTTGATAAATCCTATAGTTAGTGTTGGCTTGTTATGCTGCCTTAAGCTTAGACTACTGGAGGACAAATTGACCTCATATCTTTAAATGATTTGCTAAATTAAATTGTATTCATTTGATACTATTTCTGGGCAGCACGGTGGTGCAACTGGTAGAGCTGCTGCCTCTCAGCTAGCAGGTCCTTGGTTCAAACCCTGGTCCAGGGGCCTTCTGGGTGGAGTTTGCATGTTCTCTCTGTGCATGCGTGGGTTTTCTCCGGGTACTCCGGTTTCCTCCCACAGACCAAAAACATGCATGTTAGACTGATTGGTGACTCTAAATTGTCCCTAGCTGTGAGTGAGTAAGTGAATTGTTGTTTGTCTCGTTTGTCTCTATGTGTCCCTGTGATGGACTTGCGACCCGTCCAGGGTGTACCCCGCCCCTCGCACAGTGATTGCCGGACATGGGCACCGCCGACCCCCGTGACCCAAAATGGAATAAACGGGTAAAGATAATGGATGGATGGATGGATGGATGGATGGATGGATGGATGGATGGATGGATGGATGGATGGATGGATGGATGGATGATACTATTTCTATCATAACGTGATTCTCGACCTGCCATTGTGTATCTGTTCCTACCAAACCCAGCCGGTTGAAGCAGATCACCGCTTATCCTGAGCCTGGTTCTGTTAAAGGTTTCTTCCTCATGAGGGAGTTTTTCCTTTTCTCTGTTTCCTTCATGCTTGCTCAAGATAATAATCTGCAAGTTAAACTCAAAGCAGTGTGCTCCTCAGATAAATAGTGTTAAATTATAGTTTTTATATGTTTCTGTTCAGTGCCCTGAGATGATTTCTGTTGTGACTTGATTCTATATAAATAAACTTCATTGAACTGAACTGAATTAAATCCCCCTGTGGGGTAATTAGCACACTGAGGTCTCTTGTTTGAGTGGCATGTCAAGGTGTGAATGGAAGTTCAGATTTCTAGGGAAGGATGTCAGCACTAAGATGTGTGACCTTCACTTGTTTGGTATGGATCAGGTAGAAGTTAGGGGGCCTTTTGGCCAACCGAAAAAAGCATTTTCAAGCAGCCCAAGTAAATCCACTTGCTTTATCAACCAGTAGATGAATTTATGTTACACGTTTTGGTTTGTAATTATTATTATTTTTTTCTCAAAACAGTTCATCGACCAGTTCATCGACAGTACTGATCACCAAAAATTATGTTTTGTATCTTAAAAAAACGAGTTTACGATGAAAATCTTCATAAACGATGCGCATATGGTCATTTTAACACATTATCTTGCTACTTCACAAGCCATGTTGAATGAAAGACTGCTTTTGTTTAAATGCTCGATATGTATAAAAAAAAAACTCCCTACACTTTTATTTTAAATGAAATTCACAACACCAGAGTAGCAGCTGTGATCTAATTAAAACATTTTATACAAAGATTTAGCTTAAAGTCCTCTACTTCAAAAGACAAAAATAAACAAAAACTACATTTCCATTTCACGTTTAAGTTAGGGCAAACCTAAATTTACAATGATTTGTTTTTATGCATTTTGTGATGTAGAAATTATGTAGAGTGTATGTTGCTTCATATATTTTTTAAAGACTGAACATTTTTTACCACAAACCTGAATTCTAAGATTAAGAAAAATAGCTTCTAAAATCAAAAATATATTTTTTACAGTCATGACTTGGTGAAGACACAACGTTATGTGGAGTAATGATTACAGATGTACTCCCTCTTCCAAGCAGAGCCCATGTACACACACATGCACACAGACGTTTGTCTTTCTATCTTTTTGGGGACTTTGCATTGACTTTGATTCATTTTGCATTTATTTGATCATTTCTATAGCCTAACCCTGACCCTTACCCTAAACATAACCATTACCAGTACATACAAGGGGCTGAACAACATATTCATATACATTTTTTAAAGTCAACTTCAACATGATAAAAGTTGATGTCGATTAGGCTCTGTGACGCTATTCACAAAAAAACGTAATTTATTATTTACACAGAAAAAAAGAACAATAAAACTTCGGGAGCGTATATTTATGCTCTTACTGTCAAATAAGTCACAGGAAAGCCAAAACTATTATTGAGCACCAAAAGTTAGTTTTATTTTAATCAATCCACTAAATAGAAATGCCCCCCCCCCCCCCCCCCTTCATATTTTTATTTTATTTAGTGGATTAAATAAAACAAAAATAAAATCAGCAGGGCGGGCGGTGGTGAAATCCACCAAGGACGGTTGAACCTGAAGAGTCATCTTTAGTGAAATACTTCCACACTGTTGAAGAATTTCTACCTGTTTGGCAAGACTTGGCCTGCTCCTAGCCTTCCATCTGCTTGGAATAATCTGTTTTGTAGCCAGCGGCCCGGCGCCGATCATGTGACACATGACACAATCGCGAACTGTGACTAGTCGACGTGAAATTTAAAAACTTGCGATTTCCTAAGGTTGACTAGTCGACTTGTCTATTTGCCCCCTGGTACATACATACATAACCCATCCTCAATTCACACCTTAGTCCTAAACCTAACTCTAACCCACCAACAACGCCTGAACCTTATGGGGACTGGGTTTTGGTCCCCACAAAGAACAGTTAGTCCTCACAATGTAGTATGTGGTATTGGGGGAGTGGTGGCGCAGAGGTTAGAGAAGGTGGGCCTGTGATCGGAAGATTGCTGGTTCAAGCCCTGGTACTAACAACATCAAAAATGTGGGTGGGGTAGGTGAAGTACCCACACCTGCCCCCACCCTCATTCGCCCCACTTTGGGCCCATGAGTAAGGCCCTTAACCCCATCTGCTCCCTAAACAGGTCTCTCTTAAAAATGAGTTCTCGTGGCTCAATGAGACTACCTGTATAAATAAAGGCTGAATGAAAAAAAATATATATAATGAAAAATGTGTTGAAAAATGGGCCTCACAAAGTAACATAAACTAGCATACACACACACACACACACACACACACACACACACATGTTCTCATTGAAGGCCTATTTAATTACTCTGCTTTCAGCTTTCAAATTGCCCAGAAGCACTTGGAGTTAGGCAAAGGAAAGAGAGTGATGCAAAGAGAGTGATGATGACATCCGCTGAATTCCCATGGTGCTTTTAGAGCTGGATCTCTTGAGCCAATTTTCAAAAGAGAACGCATTGTGTTACCCAGTGTTATCCTGCTCACGATTTTTACCAGTGGATGAGATGCATTACGAAATGTATTCACATTACATCTTGTGATTTCAGACAGCTGGGCAAAATGAAAAAAAAAAGAAAAGATTCTGAGAAATGAAGACTGAGGAGCGGGGTTAGGACTCAGGAGGTGGATGAGGGTGATGGAGAAGTGGGGAGTGGTGATGCAGTGAGATGAGGAAATGCGGACATAAAGGAGTGTATTTTGGCAATTGTTGTGGAGAGCACAGGAGGGAGAGTAAGTTCTCACAGCTGCTTTGATTTATGCAGCCGTCATACCGGCAGTGACTGAGAGTCAGTGCTTTGTGATGGAAAAAAAAATCATAAATTCATAAATTTCCAATGAAGCCTAATATCTGCTGATGTGAAAAACACCAAGCTTAAAATAAGGTTCAAGCATATAAAGCATTAATTCTACTACATAAGACTGGTAATGAAGCCACTTAATACTTTTCTTGCACTAAAAATAGACCTGCAATCCCACATACCTGCTGTACACTGTCCCAATGAACCAAGAACACACCTCTGAGTGACTCCACAGTTTGCATCACCAAAACAATTAAACACGTTGACAATATTCACAATACAGTTATGCCGTTTCTGCTGCTAGTGCTGCACTCATTTCTCGGGTGGATATTCTGTGGTTGTTAATGCATGCAGCTTGGTATCTTGAAGAATTAGAAATGGCTTTGCAGAGCTTAAAAAGAATGGAGGAAGAGCAGGAGGGTTGATAAAGGAGCTGCTGGGAGGGGCATCAAATGTGCTCCAGGTTTAAT